TGCAGATTGATTTCCGCACAACGAAGAATGCCGAAAATTTCTGCCTGGAAGATAAAGGTGTATCTACCCAAATTCTTACTAAGTTTGAATTTCGGGCGTTCCTCGTAAATTCCAAAGCCTACGTCGAGGCCCATTTTAGACCCATCGGTATACCATATGAGGCTACCGACCTCACAGATAACCTGGCCGTTCAGCCAGTCTTCTCTGGAAGGTAATTCCACTATATAGTTTTTATCAATAGTGTGTAGTGGACGCATGATATCTGAGATCGTGCGTAAGACCGTTGATTCCTTAATTGAGTCGAGCATCGATCTCAATCTGTAGTAGGAGAGCAAGCTCAGACCGCCCTGGGCTTTAATTCTATACAAACTATCCCTCGCCTCCATGTCTAGATAAAAATCAAGGGGCGTTAGGCATAGAAGTGCATTAAGAGCCGCCCCAGGCGATGATCGCATAGCTCCAGTTGCCATTAAGCGGGCAGTCCTACGTAGAGTATTTAGTCTGTCCGCAGTCGTCCTTTGGTTGGACTTGTTACACCAGAGGCATAGGTGAGAATCGGCCTCACTATGCTGCTGTACAGCCATAGGACCATACTTGGACGCAAGCCCCAGTTGTTCCCGACCAAACGACTGCACGTACCTAAAGCAATTTTTGCCTTATGGCATACGTTGCTAAGGTGAGAGTTCCACGTTAGTTTTTGGTCGATTGTTACGCCCAAGTACTTAACTTCCGTGGAAAATGGTATTTCTTTACCATTAAGTTTTGGTTGGACTAATTTGTCCATGTTCTTTTTGGCAAAAGGTTATTACTTATTATAACAGTTTTATCAGAATTAACTGAAAAACTGTTATCCCTACACCAGTTATTTATGATGTTTAGGGCTTTTTGTATGATTGACGATAAAGTACTTTGGCAAAATCCCCTTGTTATGATCACAAGGTCATCAGCATAACTCAGTGTGTGCGTAGGTCCGCTATCTTGTACAATAGTTGCTCACCCGCATGAGTCCAAAGAAAGGGTGACAAAACACCTCCTTGTGGGTGGGCAGCCTCTTATAGTTGCAACCTCAATCGAAGTTTGTAACAGCGCTATTTTTGCCTTTCTGTATGAGAGCATCGACTTCCCCCATCTGATGGTTGTGGGGTCAACATTTTTAGATGTTAGGCCCCCAATCAGCAGTGATGTGGAGCTACTGTTGAAGGCGCCCTCAATATCCAGAAAGGTACAAAGAGCTATTTCTTTATCATCCATTGCTTTTACGACCTTGTCAATGACACTGATCAGCGTAGATTTGCCTCTGCGGTAAGCAAGCTGGTTGTAACGCATGGGCCTCGTAGCTAGAGCTACATCCCTTATATATCTATCTATAACCTTTTCCAATGTCTTAAGCAGAAAGGAAGATAGGCTTATAGGTCTAAAGGATCTTTTAGGTATAAATAGAACCTTGACAATTGTCCATCGTTCTGGAATATATCCCCATGCAAAACTTGCTGTGAAGATTTTCACCAGATAGGGAAGAAGGATGTCAATACCCCTCTGTTAGTTGGATGGGAATCATTCCATCCTCCCCGCTTGTTTGTGCCGTGTAGTGGCGGTTGAGAATATCCACTACCCCATATCTTCCCGTGGGTGTCGTAAGAGGTGACAAAGGAAGACAGGCAGGAGATGGGCAGCAGCATCTTCCTAATAACAACAATAATTTAATAAAAAAACTGCGGTTGCCAACCCGCTTGACAAGCGTGGCAACTATGGCAAATATCCCCCATGAGTAAAGATGCAAACAAACGGGCCCCAGTCCCCGGCGGTCCCGCTATTCCTGGCTACGGTGGCGATCATGGTAACGGCGGGGCAGGGGGTGTTTAGGATCTCCGGTGGACGTTCTGTTGCCACCTACGACGACTCGACCTGGCAACATATAACGCACGCACCATGAGGTTTGTCGAGAAGATACTGGAGTTGGAAGAAGAGGTAGACAAGTTGCGCTGGCATATTATTGGATTATCCGAGGTCCGGAGTGAGGGGAGGACACGGTAATCCTCGAGACCAGCAACTTGTACTATCACCGGGAGGGCGACCATCTGTCTCAAGGAGGTGTTGGATTTATCGTCCACAAGTCTCTCGTCAATAACGTTGTAAAAATTGGGAGTGTGTCAACGAGGGTCGCGTACCTGATACTCAGAATCACCAAACGGTATTTGCTGAAGGTCATACAGGTTTACGCACCAACCTCGGTACATCCCGATGAGGAGGTGGAGGAAATGTATGAGGATATTTCTAGAGCCATGCATTCCTCCAAAACCCACTACACGGTGTTGATGGGAGACTTCAACGCAAAACTAGGCACAAGAGAAAGCGGTGAGCTGAAGTTAGGGAAATTTAGAGTAGGGCAACGGAACCTTAGGAGCCAGCAGCTGGCTGACTTTATGAAGTATTTTTTCCAAAATGTCGGTTTTCATCCATTTTGTTCCCAAGATTAGCTAGGGAAATACTCGGTCACCCCCGGCAGAGCCCTGCATGCCGAGGGAAGGGCTAAAATACTACCCGAATCGCCCTAGTCTCGGATAGGCACCGTTTGCGACTGGATTCCCTCCAGTCACGCATACATCGGCACGGTACGCTTGACACCTTGGATTGGGTTAGGATAGAAAAAAGGGGTGGGATAAAAGAAAAGAAAAAGAGGATCATCCGTCTGTTTCATATTGAACCAGACCAAATAACGAAAAGGAGAACTCCTCAAACTTGCCCTGGGGATCAACAAGATCTGCGCTCTCTCCCAGAGTCATACGCCAAACTGCTCGCCGGACAGGAGAGCAGAATAGGTGTTAATTTAATTCTATTGATAATATCAAAAAATTACTCCTAACTACCCAAACAAGACTAACACCCGCCTAAAACTGAGCTAAAAGGCTAACATGAAGCTCGAAAGTGGGAAAAAAACAGTTCTTTTCAGGTATTAAAGCTTAGAGGATTCATATATTGAAAAGTAAAACAGCTACATAAGACCATAATGCAAAAGGGAGATAAAATAATTAACGTATCAAACCTTTTGGTCGGAGATTACCCGAACGATAGACTCGCTATAATTAATAATAGTGTTTTTTATCAGACTGTGCTGCCAACTAATACAAAATTTTCCGCCTAATTCAGATATTTTTAAAAAAAGTTTTAAAAATTTTAAAAAAAGCGCTATAGACCCTAGAGTTGCATTTGATCTAGCGCCAAATGCGCTAAAACGGCAGCATTGCATCTGACAAATTGGTGGTTTCTTTTGTCTATGAAATGTATGAAGACATTGACCTTTATACATGTATATATAGAGGTCAGTGACATAAAGATATAATTAAAATAGATTCACATATCGTCTGAAGTTATCTATTTTCTGAAACGTTCAATCCACAAACTAATAAGAGTTGGTTCAATCGTCCTTTAGGGGAGTCCCATCTTGATTTTATAGTGCTATCGAGCTTTGTCACGACCACAGAGTAGTACTTTTTATATACCCGAAAGCAGTGTTGCCAACTTGACGAGTTTCCCGCTAGATTTGACGGGTCACCGAGGTTGACATCAGGAAAAAATTGTGTTTAACGGCTAACGGATTTTTCAGCGGGACAACGAAAAATTATGTTTTTTTAGATTTGTTTTCGAAATAAAAATAATTTGGACATGGCAAAAATTAAGTAATAATTTTATTCATTTTTTTAGTTTAAAAATACGAAAAATATCTTTAAAAAGTTGAGAGAGTTAATTTTCCTTTGACGTAATTCTTTTAAATACAGCTCGGAAACTGTTTTGTCGTCGGTCGGCCAAAATGATGCGCTACTGTTGAATATATAGAGAACTATTATATATACTATTTCTAAATATCTCGGAATTGTAATTATTTATTTTAGTTTATCTTAGTAGAGAAAGTAATAAATCAAAAATCCCTACTTAACGGGTTGTGACGGGATTGTAGCATTCTACACAGCGGAAGCGAAAATTTAATGTTGGTAACACTGCCTAAAAGTCGCGACTCTATAATCAACAAAGCCGAGTACATGGAGGTTAGAGAACAAGAGAACGCTCGCTGTATAAAATAGTGTCCCAGAAATCGCACAAAATAAGTGAGGCGCTGCGATCGCATAGTTTCTCAATAATTTTAATTATTGTAAATATTATAAATTATTACAAATATAAATCATTAATTATTATTGATTTATTATTATTATTATTATTTATAATATTTCACCATTTTTTATGTTTCCATTTGTCAAAAATTTAAAAATTACTTCGCAGACACTTCTTACCGACGGCAGCGCGGCTATAAATTCACGTTCACATTCTGTACTCCTTACCTCTACACTCCATAATTCACGGTCAAAAGATGACGTGTATTTCTTTAGTTCCCCTTGTATAAAATAGATGTCACTCTACTGTATTTACTATTGAGCACATGAATACTAAATAGGTAGATGGTATATAATTAATATAATTTAAGCATTTACCCATTCATATAGTACTTTCCACATTGCATTTACCCCTTTAAACCGAAGAGTATTTTATACAGGTACTTTAAACTATGCTGTAGTTTTTTGTTAATTTGTTTGGTCTTATACAGATCAAAAGTTATTTTTAATTCATTGGAGTATAATGAAATATAATCAAATATCTAAATCAAGCCTGTAAACGGTTAAATAAAACTGTTTATTAAAAAAAAGATTATAGTGGGTAATAGTAAAACGTGTACCTGCGTAGAGTGTACACAGGAATAGTTAAATTATTTAGGTAACTAGCAACACTAACGCTATAAAATTATTATTTTGCGGTGTTAACATCAAATCCCAAGTGTCAAATTTTATTGTCGCAAAAATTTTAGTCTTGTAAACGAACAATTATTACGTGATCTCAGAAATAGTACCTAAAAAGATAAAATCAATATCAAACAGTTCGGGTCCTTAAATTGCCGTCCTTATCGGCTGTGTAAATTGTTGGTGACAGTGTGTGAAGATTCGTATAAATGAATGATGTCGCTGAGGTCCAAGGCCCTGGCGCTTGTGGAGGTGCTTTTGCGAGTTCCACCGCTGTTTGTGGTGGATGAGTTTTTGAAGATCAGTTTGGGATTGCCGGTGTCGAGCGGCGAGGAGGTTTCGGTGCTTAGCAACGTGACAATCGACCACGTAGATGTTACTGAAGCAGATGTGAACTACTACGATGCGAACTTCTATAATGCTTTCCTTTTTACTTTCTTCAAGTTCGTTATCTGCTGTTTAGGTAAGCGTTTTATAAATATTACTCAATACGCTTATGGCATTTATTTAATGAGTGATAATTTAACCATTAACTTCCTTTCGATTTCACAAGATTTCAGTATTTCAAAATTGCGTTCAGTGTTTACCCTGCGTGGTTACAGTGTCAGTGTCACAATGTGTACGTACTGAAACTGAACTGATATTTCGTTTATTTGAAAAGGCTTTATACACTCCTCTTTCAAAAGAAATATTATTTTCAAAACCATAAACAGTTTTATTTTGAATGTTTTAAGTGTTTAATCATAATTTTTGGCAACATTATGATGTGATTGTTATTAATGGAGGAAGGAAGGAATTGCTTACTATTTTACAAATTTATTTTCCTTAATTTCTTTATCATGGATAAAGATTTAGAATTACTGTCCCTAAATATTAGAAAACAGCATAAATAATGAACTGATTACTTATAATTTCCTTTTTGTTGTTTTGTTACCAACAATTTGATCTCCACTTCTTATCACCCACATAAGTAGATATCACTCATTAAATAAATGTCAGTATCAATTTTCTGGTAATCTATAGAGTGATAATCTGTGCCTGATAACACTTACCTGTTTACATACCACAGTTCACTTTCTCATATTATAAAACATAGCTATCATAACATAAGCATTATTTTTTTATATAGAATTAGGGTAACAAACGAGTATACAGTCTACCTGATGGTTAAGGGGATACTGTGGACCATAGACATTTACATTTGTTTTTGTTTAAGAAACGAAATGCAAATGTGCTATAGATGAGGACTGAGGTGGAATGCCTCGTTTCCAGTAAAAAGGGTCTCCAGTTCTCTACACTCACCATACGAAACACAGCAGCATTGAGCTGCTATTTTATGCTGGTATTATAAAAGAGTGTGGTCCTTCCGTGGTCGAGCCGACTCATTCGAACTACAACCATAATATCGCGATCACCTGCAGACGCCTTGTGTAGAGGTGGAACACATGTCGTATTATTGTTGATGGTGTGTCTTTCCTAGAATAGTGGTGTTAGAAGTAGTTGTGTTAGGAGTAGTGGTGCTAGGATTAGTGCACGCAATTAAGGGAGGGTGGGAGATGCTCTTCAAACTAGGTAGAAGACACATAATTTAATTGAGCGGATGGTTGCAAAATAGCTATTAATATCTTAATTATAAATTTTTTGTTAAGTAAACTTAATACATTCAGTTTTTATGCAAGAATTTCATATTTCAAGGTAAACATGCTTGCCTTATTAAATAAAAAATCTAGTTTGTCTAAGTAATTATAAAATAAGGAAATTATTATTATAATTTTTCATATCTTGCATATATCAAATATGCAAAACACCCATCAAATCACACAGTGTGGCACAGGCATGTAATGCTTCGCATATGTGTGTAAAGATTGAACACAAATTTGTAATTTGCCACATTATTTTCATTTATTGATCGTTTGGGCAGCCTGCCATACTTGCTGCAAAATTTTCAATGCTTAATTAATATAAAAATTTACAGCATGTTCCGCTGATTGTAACAGTTGTGTTTAAATAAAACTAGTTTTTATGGATTTTTTTTAAAGTTTATTTATTAAGGTATCAACCCACATATGTTAAGTACATTTTGCGTCAAAGACAATGAATTAGAGTATTATACACATACAAAATTACAAATTAAACTCTATTATGAGTTAAAATATAGTACTTTAAAAAAAATTCAACACCTATAGCGTCTGATGCAAACCCTGCCAGTGTTTATAAAATATATTGTCAGGAGACACCTGAGCAACGACCTTAACTAATTCATTTGTTGAGTTACGTACAGTTATCCAGAAACTGGCCGTTCTACATCATAATACTGCGTAAAAGTCTGGGATGGCAGCCTCTGCGAACATTGTGGACGCACTGCAGTACCGTGGATGTTTCAAAAAAATACGAAAAGCATCATTATACTGTACTCTGAGGATGTTATAGGAGTTATCCAAAGTTGTCCGGTGTAAAAGCTAATACAATAGGCTTTAAACAGAGTAATCTTAACATCCTCAGAACACAAGGCAAAGCGATGCGCCAGCATGTTACAATGTATAGCAAGAGCTCTATGTTCACGCTTAATATCCAAGTCGTCACTCAGGTTCTCCGACAGCATATGACCCAAGTACCTGAAATTCTTCACAGTCCAAACCTGCACACCATTTATGCTTACTGGCGGTACTCTCCCCGGATCTTTTTTTTTCTTTTTTTTGGCGGTTTTTGATTATTCGCCAATGTCAGCGTGGAAGTGTTTATTGAGTACAAGCTCAGTAGTTACAAATACTATGCCCATGAACTAAAGAAGATTGTGATAATACAAGTGTCTTGTTTTATTTAAACAATTAAATTTTCCTTTTTATCTTATAATACTAGTGGTTGTACTGTTGAATTACCTAGGACAAATGACAAACACAGTTGCTATAACTACTTTAGTATATTAGTATTGACAAACATTAAACTTTTATACTATTAGAGTTAATAAAATCACACAGAATATATACATAAGGAGTGTTTGTGTAGGTTAAAAGTGAATCAAAATTTATTGGACGAGGGATGTAAGGAGGGAGGTGATCATAGAGTGAAGAAGATAATTTAGGACAGTTAAAAAAAATATGGCCCTCCCTGACGTACCCCACATTCTAGTTTATAGCCACTAGAAGTGGTGTCGTCCCACCTAACTTTATTTGTCTGGTTCTCGTACCAGTATCTCAGCAAACCCAGAACAGTGCCAGGTACACTGGGCTCATGCATTTTCCTCCATAATATATTATAATTAACAATGTCAAATGCATAACTCAAGTCCAGAAAGCAGGCGTAAACAGATGTACTACTTCTTTCATAATAGTTTACGACGTGCTTAACGGACAGTATTGCAGAGTCGGCAGAAACACAGGCACGAAAACCAAACTGAGCATCACTTATCCTAATATTTTTCACAAGTTCGGGCTGTAGAAGTCTTTCAAGCACTTTACCAACTATTGTGCCCAGAGAGATAGGGCGGTAATTGGAGATATTAGAGAGGTCACCGGTTTTGTCCTTAACGACTGGTACAACAATCGTCTGTAACATTTTATCAGACAGATATGTATGTTTAATACACAGGTTAAAAAGTAATGCTAAAGAATCAAATAGTTTATCACTGGCATAGAGAAGGTGCTCAACACTCAAGCCATTGTGGCCCAGAGACTTTCCTCGCTTCATATTATGAACTACTTTTATGATATCACTGGCACACAAGGACAAAACCTCAGCATTGGAGATTGTCAACTGAGCATGGGGAATACTCTCCACATGCATTGCTTTAATTGAAAAATGTTTAGCAAACATGTTAGCTATGTCCTTTTTGTCGTTAATCTCATTCACGCTAACTGGCAAGCTACTACGTATATTGCAGGCTTTTTTGTTTTGTTGTATATATTATTTTGTTATCCGTTAAGGGCGTGGAGTACCCATCATTTCTAACTTATTTCACTATGAAACACCCTACCCTAAACTTAACCGTTTTCAAGATATTCGACTTTTAATTTTTTTATTGAAAATTGCCGATTTTTAGGCTACTACATTTATTTTTGTTTATTTTGTGTGTATTATTATTATTATTATTGCATTTTTACATGTGTAATTAGATGCTTTAGGATGTCAATCATTAAAATAGTGCGTAAGTTAATTGAATAGACCATAGTAGACAAGTGAAAGTAAATAAATAAAAAAATATATTAGAAAGCTTATTTTTCTTGAAGGGAATGTTTTTTTTAAATATCTACGTTTCATCAGCTATCTAACGAGGTATAATAATCTAAGGTTTTATTCAAATGCATTGAAAAAACTTTAGTTTCATAGGCGACAGTGAAGAAGAAAATTTATACTTAGCCGAAAAAAGTAAAATAAAAAATCGTTACGCATGAAATGTCATTTATTAAAGGTTTTCACAAAACTTTTTCTTATTCTACAGTTCATGTTCAACATGGCCGCCTCTATTTCTGATACATTGTCGCAACCTTCTACGGAGACCAGTCATCACTACTCCAGTAGTCAACATGGTCCTAATTTTATTTGCTGCATCCACAATCCTTTCTCTTAAGTCTTCCACAGACGAAACTGGATTCGGCTTGCTGTACACAAGACTTTTCATGCACCCCCACACATGAACGTCAACGTTACGTCTGGACTTTTCGCTGGCCGTGGCAACGGCCCACCTCGTCCTATCCATTTGCTTGGATAATTTGTGTCTAGCCAGTCCTTGACACTTCTCCTGAAATGGGCCGGGCAGCCATCGTGTTGGAACCACTTGTCTCTGATCAGATAGAGTGGCAGATCATCCAGCAAATCACTCAAGTCTGCTCTCAGGAAATTTTCGTAGCTTTCCGCATTTAGATTATCCGGGAGAAAGTAAGGTCCAAACAAATGATTGGAGATAATGCCCATCCACACATTCACGCTGAATTTTCGTTGGGACCCCTTCACTCTTTTCTTATTGGGATTCCTTAGTCCTTTTGGGGCCCAGTAATGGGCCTTGTGATAGTTAGTTATGCCATCTTTATCAAATTTGGACTCATCCGCCCACAAGATATTTCTTAGAAAATCTGGGTCTTCTCCATCAGCATTTAGCATAAATCTGCAAAAGTCCAATCTTCTCGCGGGGTCTCCTTCTTCAATAACGTGTACCGGCGTGTAATGGTACGGGTATAGGCCAGCATTATGCACTGTAAACCACACTCTCCATTGCGAAAGTCCCAGATCACGGGCAACAATATTAGTGGAAGTAGTCGGATCCGCTCGAAAGCGTTGCACTATCTCATTGTCCTGTTCTTCGTCGTCAATTCGTGGTCTTCCCATGTCTGTATTTCGTCTCAAAACAGAGCCAGTTTCTCGAAGTCTTCGATAAACTCTGTCAAAAACGGCCACATCCGGCACTCGACGACCGGGGTAGCGAGTTACGTATTCGTTGCGAGCTTGCGCAGACACACAATCGCAGTA